GGATTCCCTGCCTCTGTTCAGAGCAGGCCCCTGGACGAGCCAGCGGTCCATAAATATTGCATGCATGCATACACACACACACACACACACACACACACACACACACTCATACATTTTATACATAGATAGATATCTTACCTCATGGGTGAGAAATTACAAGGGCAACCGAAATAACCTCAGCGGACAATCCAAGCCATCACAAAGTATGTCAAACATCCTAGAGAGACCTCTAAGGGTGCAGAAAAGGATGCCAAGAGATGCCAAAAGGCGTTAGATAAGCATATTAAAAAATGCATGGGGGAAGTTGAACAGAGTTCTCAGTCCTCTTCCCCAGCCAGGCCGGTTCCAGTTCCAGGGGCCTCAGAGGGACCGGTTCAACCCAGACCTTCAGCATCGTTACCTGCCAGACAGACAGCTGTGGGACCACACCAGGATACCTCCTCCCAGGGGATATCCATGACAAAACAAAGGCATGGATGGAGATGACGATTTGACGGGGCATTGCAGCAGACATTAATGGCTAGGCAGCCTCCACACTCTAACTTCGAGTCTCACTCAATTCAGTCAATATGCAGAACGGACCTTCACCTCCTTCAGAGGAGTGTTTTATAATCCAAAATACACATTCACACGATGTACAGGATGAGGGAGAACTAGAGGACCAAATGGAACAGGTTGAGGAAGGATCTACTCACGACAGTAACCAAGACCTGTCAGAGGCAGATCCCCTAAAAAAGGGGCATGTCAGACATTGAAGGCATTAAGCCACACCAACCGCCCTCAACCTTTCAGATCTCTGTTGTTCAAGGCAAAAACTACTGCCCGCCTTGATATTCCATTCCCCTCGGCCCAACAATCTTGACCACAAGGGGAGTCAGATGATTTAATCTTCTCCCAACCAATAATGAAAGAGGAAGTCATTCCTGTTCCGCAGATGTTCTCGGACCTCGTCCAGAAACAAGGGGCCTCTTCAATGGCGTATTCCCCTCTTACAGGATATGATAGAAAATTTTTAATTTGACTTCCAATTTCTCTAAATTTCTCAATACCACAGTAATAGATGAAACAGTGGTGGCATTGTCATCCTTCTCTGCAATTCCAACTGAAGCAGAAGAGGCTCTCAAGCCAGAAGATAAATAGGGCCGAGTTGTCTCTATGTAGGGCATGTCAATCAGATGCGTGGGCCATGAGAGCGGCAACTGCTGCATCCTTTTTCACTAGATTGTCTCTCAGATGGCTCTGGCATCTGAGGGCAATCATCCCAAATTCCAATATCAGGGCACACAAGGACATCGCCAAGCTAATAGCGGCCACAGAATTTTCTGTGGACATTAAATTCAATTCTGTCAAATTATCTGCTTGAGCCATGGCATCTCAGGTTACTGCTTGTCAATTGCTATGGTTCAGCCATTGGCAAGCAAATATCAAACACCAATGGAAGCTTGCTTACTCCCCAAAATCGGGAGATGAATTGTTTGGTGCTGCCCTTGACCCACCTCTGATAGAGACAAGAAGCAAGAAAAAGATCCTCCCCTCTCTTTTTCGTAGATCAGAAAATAGACCTTCCCAGCCCTTTCAGAGGGGTTCCTTCGTACCCTCTACCAGGGGCATTTCTCTCCAGATTCCAGAGAGCATCTGGATACAAGAATAACCAACAGTCAGATAGTTCCAATCTTGGAGATAGATACTGAAGGGGAGGGCAGACCAAAAGAACCTTTCGAGGGACAGAGGTTTCCGATGCACAAAATAGGTTTCATGACTGTGCCCCTATTGGTGGAAGGCTCAGGCCTTTCGCAGACAGATGGGATTCCTCTACCACTGATTCCTGGGTTAGATTCCAGAAGATTAGGCCTGGCTAAGGAATTTCCATCCACTCCCCAGATCCTTTTCATGACATGCCCTCTCTCCAGGGATCCTGTTAAAAGGAGCCTGATGGAGACAGCTATTAATCATTTATTGGAGATCCAGGCAACCCGACCTGTGGCACCGGATCAGCAAGGGTAAGGCTTTTATTTGCTATTTTTTTCTAGTCTCAAAGAGTTCAGGGGAATGGAGGGCAATTTTAGATTTTAAATGACTTAATCATTCCCTAGTTTATAGGAGGCTTAAGATGCAGTCCATCCTTCTGAGCTTCAGAAAGGGCGACTTTCTACCCTCCATTGACTTAATGGAGGTCTATCCCCACATTCCAATTAGACCCTCACATAGCAAATTTCTTAGAATTGTTATAATAATCAATGTGTCGAATACGTTTCCCTGCCCTTCAGGTTTTCCTCTGCCCGAGGACCTTTACGAAGGTTCTGGCAGCTCTGGCCACCCATCTCAAGGGAACTCCTGTTGGACGGCAGTGTTACTTAGATGACATTTTGTTATTATCATTTTCATATAAACAGGCCAAAGGGGAGGCCATAGCATCGGTCATCACCTGGAGAGGCTTACGGACCATTTCTCATCACCCACGCATACTCAGCTTCTTGCACGGGGCTACAAACTTACAGCCTCCATGTGGTGCATTGATATCCCAAGTGGGACCTCAACAAGATCCTTACCGTGCTCTCGAAAACTCCTTTTGAGCCCCTGAAGACCACGAGTCTCCAATTTCTAACGTACGAGGTGGTTTTCTTGGTTGCCATTACATCGGCCAGTTGAATCTCGGATCTAGCCGCCTTGTCAGTTAGACAGGAGCTCTGTATTGTTCATACAGACAGAGTGGTCCTTAGTCCAGATCCATAGATAAATTCGGTTTTCCTCAGACCACAGGAACTGATATTCCTGAACGTTTGTCCGAGACTGACACTGCAAGGTCTCTTCCTCAACGATCGGTTGGTAGCTGAGAACACAATTACCAAGTCCTATGAGACACAGTCTCTTCTTGTACTCAGGGGCATCACTGCTCATTCGACCAGGAGCACTGCAACTTCGACGGCCTGTGCCACAAGCGCCAATAGAGGAAGTTTACAAGGTGCAACATGAGCCTTTCTGTTGCCTTTCATTAGAAACTATAAGATTGTTGTCTTCGCCTCTGCGGAAGCTGCTTTTGGCAGGAGAGTGTTACAAAGGGTCCATAGGGACCAAGAGGGGAATCCAAACCAGATGGAAGCCCTCCCGTAAGACACACCAAGCTTTGGTATGTCCCAATCAATGGGTGCTCTGAACAGCTCATCGTTGGTACTTACCTGACATGCCCTTCCTCTGTGAGCTGTGAAGAGCATCCATCCCCACCCTTATTCGTCTGGTAGGGTGCTATTCCAGCCAAGTATTAAAAAGGGTGAAGGAGAAGAAAGGTTTTCATCACTTTGACTTCACCAAAACTGGGGATGCTAGGGAGGAGCCCCGTGGAGGAAGAGGAGCGTCCTCACAATTAAAGCCCAGCCTATCAGACAAGCGACAGAAGTATCTCCCAATCAATGTATGCTCTTCACAGCTCACAGAGAAAGGGTGTGTCAGGTACTTACCAACGCTCCTTCTCAGGGCTACCTTTCAGCGTTGCAATCCACATGGCCCTCCCTCAACATTCCCCAAGAGGTGAGAATTTTCCAGGCATCCGAGGTGCTAAGCAACAGTTATAAATCAGGTGAAAGGCTATACAAAAAGACAAGGCAAGAAATAGGATGCCTAGATACATAGAGAGGAAAATGAACCAAGTGTAAAAATCCAAACCACCCTCCTTCTTCCACCGAAGAATGGCAGATACACGGATACATCTTTATATTTAATTCATAAATAGCAATAATATTTCTTCATCTAATTTCCACCTTTTATCTCTAACCACTTGTAAAATCTATTCCATATTAAGTAATATTCTGTGTCTTCTTTATCCTTTATTTTTAATGTCAATCTATCCATCTCTGCACAGGCTAATATTTTCCAAATTACATCCTCATCTGATGGAGTGTTCTCATTTTTCCAATATTGTGCAAATATAATCCTTGCTGCAGTCAATTGCAAGACTAAATATATAGTCCCTTTATCATAGCCCTCCGGCATTATACCAACAAAAATATTTTTGGTTTCAGATCCATATGTTGCTTGATCATCTTTTCCAACCATGTATGTATTTTCGTCCAACATTTTCTTGCTTTCATACAAGTCCACCACATATGATAATAGGTACCTGGGGTCTGATTACACTTCCAACATTTGGCGGACATATTGCTAAACATTTTTGCCAATGTTGCCAGTGGCAAGTGCCACCTATAAAACATTTTATAGAGATTTTCCTTATATGCAGTAGCCATTGTCAGTTTATAGTTCCTATCCCAAAGTTTTTGCCATTTATATAATTCTATAGTGTAACCAAATATTTTTGCCCATACAATCATTGTTTCTTTGACTTCTTCCTCTTCCTTTTTATAACTTAATAAATAGTTATATATTTTTTTGATCAGTTTTTCATCTGTCCCTAATAATATCTTACCAAGTGTTGCTGGTTCTTTGTAAAAAATCCCACATTTTTGCATCTTTCTCATATCTTGATAAAATAGATTTTTTTCTGAATTAATAAGGTTTGGATGTATCAATGCTTCCATTGTGCAGAGCCAGACTGGTATTTTCATATAGTTTTGTAATTTAATTTTTTCCCATACCAGAAGTAAAGCATTCCTCACATAGTGTCTTTGAAAATATCTATTATGTTAATAAATTATTATCTTATTAACCTGATTTCCCAGTTTGATGTGGTGATCCCTATTTGTTTTTAGGGGACTGGGATTTAATTTGCTTTCATTTAGTTTGTAGACCAATGATTCTTAAACTGATTGACCTGACTACTTCTTTTCCTTGATTCAAATAATGCCATTATCCATAAAAAACCTCACAAGCATCTTATGCTTATATAAGTATTTGTTTATACAAAACAAGCCAATATAAATAGTTTATTATCCCTAGGATATGTCCAAAGTACCCTCTTGAGAATTACTTCCAGTTTAAAATTTAAAAGAACCACTATTGTAGATTATAGTTTTTCCATGTTCTTACTTTAGATTTCTTCTTTATTGCAGGCCCTTCAAGCACTACAGCGACAACCCAATGCAGCCCAATACTTCCATCAATTTATGCTTCAACAACAGCTCAACAGTGCTCAACTTCACAGTCTGGCTGCAGTCCAGCAGGTGAGAAGTCAAGACTTGCTAACTAAAAACTTCTGTTTGGAAAGAGACAAATCTCAGGACTAGAACTTCTGAGTGCCACCAAAGGCTCCAACTTTTTCATCATGCATTTCAGCATCTGCTTGAATTTGGATAATTGATTTTGAGAATATTAATATGCAGATACTACTCAGTTCTCTCTCTACATTAATCTCACAAATGCTATGGAACTTCTGAATCAACGTTTGGAGATAATTTTCATCAGTATTACATTGGAAGAATAAGAATTTCCCAATTTGGTCAACAGCCACTTGCTACCTCATACCAAATTTGAGGAACAAAAAACAAGATGGCCAGTAAGCTGTGAAAAAAGTTGAAGAAAAGAAGTACAAGTTATAAATTGTAGTGGCTATTAGTAAGAGCTGAATTCTTAAGTTGACAGAGGGCATTCAGTTGGCAAGTGGCTTCATTTTAGTAGACAATAAAGATTCTTAAATGTGTTGAGTGTCTGAAGCTTCTTTTGAGTTAGAGCCATATTATCCACTGTCCACATGAGAGTGCAGCTTGTCTTATAACCCATTGTAATTAAAACCATATCCTGCCTCTCCTATAGCTTAATAGATAAGTAGCTTGACATTTCTTGGGCTTGGAGTTAGGTGGCAATTGGTTCTTGACAATGACCATTGCTGAGGGCAAACAAATTGAGGCTGAGATGAAAAAAAGGAAAATATTCTGATTAGGGAACTGCTGTCTTAGAGACTATGGGTTTTTAAATAATGTATATACAACTTAGCTTTCCATAGATTTACTGCTAACTAGTAACAGTCAATAAAAATAATTAGGGACTTAGAAAATGTTACCTACCTTTCATTATTATGTGTTAATGGTACAGCATCTGGGTTACTGTACTGTACTTAGGGCCATTTTTCAAAGGGTTATGAGCTGATGGAAACTATAGCCATTCACATATCTAATGATATGAGGTAAGTAATTCATTCATACGGCAGTTGTAGGATGCATTCATACTGTACTATTAAATATGAAGTTTATCCATCCTTATTTCTGTCTGCTGATCTTTAGGCCTTTTGGAGAATAATGAAGGGAGTTTTTGATTCTTACTGATTGCTCACATCGTATAAATTTTTGCCATTTCCGTGACTTAAAAAACCTCAAAAATTGCTCAAAGTAATTGAGAATAACGTAAGGGTCAAATCAAGAAATAGTCTGTTAAAACAATTGAGGTCTCTATCATAGTTTACCCTTACAGAAAGAATATATACTAAAGACAAGTTTAATTTCTCACTTTTTGTCTTTTTATCAGGGAGTACTTAATATACGGTATCTTAATTCTAATTTTTTGAAAAACATTTCTTGTAGGCCACAATTGCAGCCAGCAGACAGGCAAGCTCTCCAAACACAAGCTCCCCTCAGCAGACAGCCACCACCCAGGCTTCAGTAAGTAGAGTGACTCATGATTGTTTATTTGGATACATTCTTGATTATGAATAAATATTTTCATACTACCGTGTTTCTCCAACAATACAGCCCCAACCAATAGGAAGGCCCAGCATGATTTCTAGGCATGAGGTGAAATTAAGCCCTGCCCCCAAAATTTAGGCCTATTTAAACCATGCATTTCCCTGCCATTTCTCACATCGTTCATTAGAATTACACGAAGTGAAGAGAAATGGGGGGGAAGGGCGGGGGGGGGGAAACTTGCCTTTAGGAGCGCCCTGCAGGTAGCCTAGGCTAGAATACTCCGATCGACTACCGATAGAACATCGGCCGATAGAAGCTCCCCAAAGGCAGCATCACCAGCCATTCCTATCGGCCAGTGGAAGTTCCCCAAAGGCAGTCATCAGCCGCTTCGTGGCGAGGCATGGCTGCCCATGGGGCGCTCCTGGCAGGAGCACCCCACACTCACTCCCCTCGCCATGAGGCTATTTCTATCGGCCGATGGAAGGTCCCCAAAGGCAGTCACCAGCCGTTTCTATCGGCCGATGGAAGTTCCACAAAGGCAGAGTCACCAGTCGCTTAGGGGCGAGACGACCTCAAGATTCTCACTGCATTTCTGCTTCCTGAGCCAGCCCCTCTTCTTCGTTCTCTCAGATAGCCCTATTTTCCCCCTCCCCCGATTTCCTACTGCAACCACTTGGATTGCAGGAGGGTCGCTAAAGAAGCTGTTGTCTTCTCCTGTCCCACTCTTTTAAACTTCTCTCTCCAGCCTTGGAAATCCTCTCCTGGGGACCCCATCCCAGCTCCAACCCTGCTTAGCTTCCAGCCTAGACAAGCCCCCCCCCAGGTGCACTCTGGGAATCCAACGACTGGTTCTGCCCCCCCATCTCTGACTATTGAGCAGAGCAGGCACTGGGGGGCAGGGAGGGGGCAGAGGGGAGGGGCTCCTGGGTTTCTTGGCTGCTATTAGGAATGTAAGTCACCTAACAGTTATTTGGGTTGGAAATATATAAACTAGGATAGAAATTTAATACTATGTCTTAAGAGAATGCTAAACTGTAATTGGGTGTGGTTTCTCAAACGGCCATAAGATGGAGCCAGAAACCTGGGTTGTTTTAGTCTCAGTGAATTTCTGTTCCTTTCTGTTGGAGAGTTTTGCTGTTCCTCCAAATGACTGTTACTGATCGTTGATGTAAGTCTGTTACTGAACTGTTTTGATACTGGACTTTGATATTTGGATTATCCCTGAACTGAACACTGATTGCTTTACCTGTGAATGACTTGGACTGCTTATTTTGGACTGTGCTTAAACGTTTATTAGAAGTAAAAACCTACATTTACTGTACAGTGTATCTGTGTACTGTGTGTGTATTATTCAACACTACTCTCACTACGTCTCCCTGTATGCGCTCATTCTCCTAATGGGGAATTACCTCAACATTGGTTATGGGCCCAGGCCATACCAGGTTCAGATAACTGAGAGTTGGTGTGAATACACAGTACTGTATACAGACAGCTGTTTACTGTTTAATTGTGGGTTACTATCCTGGTAAAGATGGCACAAGACACTTCAACAAATCTATCACTGATAACCCGGTTGGATGGAACAAACTATGTTTCCAGGTCTATGAAGTGCAGTCTACTTCTGCGTAGAGAAGGGTTATGGAATGTAGTTCAAGATCCACCGGATGTAAATGCTTGGGATCCAGAAAATGAGGACGATGCCAAAAAGCTTGCTGACTTTAAACAGAACAACGAATGAGCTCTTTGTATAATTGGACTAACACTGAGTGACCAGCAGCTAGTCCATATTCATGGGGAAGAGTCTGCTGCTAGGTGTTGGGAGAATTTGAAGAGGATTTATGTTTGTGACAGTGTAGGTGCACACATACATCTTACACGTAAACTGTTTAGAGCACGTCTTCTGAAAGGTGGAGATATGTTGGCTCATTTGAACTTCATGAAAAGAACTTTTCAAGAGCTACATGAAAAGGAACTGATATTTTCAGAGCTGCATCAAGTTTACATCATTCTTTCCTCATTGGATGAAAGTTATGATGATTATGTATCTTCACTGGAAGTCCTGCCCAGAGATAAACTGACATTGACTGACATAACCAGAAGGCTGTTAGAAGAAGCAAGAAGATGGCTGGATAGGGACCAACTGAGGAAGGAACAACCACAAGAAGAGGATTTGTCTTCAACTGCCTATACTGTTAGGAAATGTTTTTCTTGTGGGGCTAGGGGACATATAGCTAGATTCTGTAAGAAGGGAAAACAACAGATTACTGGTAATCACCAGAAGGCCAAGAAGAATGTTAGTTTAGCTATGTCTAGCAATTCAACTGTAAACCATGATTTGTTGATTGATAGTGGAGCATCGCAATGCATTACTAAAGATAGAAAGAGGTTTGTAAATATTTCTATGAGTAAACAACATGTATCATTGGCAAATGGATGGAAGATGAAGGCTTCTGGTGAAGGTACTGCATATTGTTCTTGTATAAACGAACATTTAACTATGTTATATATATCTAAACTAAAATTTAATTTGTTATCAGTAAGGGCTTTAGTTAATATTGGTTATGTAGTAACCTTTCAGTTTATAGCTGTATAATAGAGAAAGAGGGTAAAAGTATTACTGCTAATCTAGATAATGATTTATATGTGATACATGATGACCAGATGCAGATGGTTAACTCGGTTTATAACAATGTTAAACCACATGATGAATGTATACATATACTGCATAGACGTCTAGGGCACATTAATTTCAAACTGCTCAAACAAACTGTTGAATTGTCAGAGGGTGTAAAATTGAAACCCTGTAGCAAGTATTTAAACTTGAATGCTTGTAGCCAAGAGAAAAGTAAGGTTACTCCAGCAAACAGACTTAATGGGTTTAAGATCAAAGAACCTTTAGAGATTGTTTTTGCTGATATATTTGGTCCTAAAAAACTTAGTTTAGGAGGTGCCTGCTATATTTTGAGTATTGTGGATCATTACTCACAATATGGTTTCTGCTATCTCATAAAAAACAAAACAGAAACATTCCAACATTTCTTTAACTGGCTAAGGTTTGCTGAGAGAAAAATGAGAAGTAAAGTAATTACTTTAGTTACTGATAATGGGACTGAATGTGTTAACAAAAGATTCCAAACTATGTTGAAATTGGCTGGTGTCGAGCATAAACGTTCTGCACCTTACAGACCACAACATAACTCGTTTGTAGAACAAGGAGGCAAACATTACGAGCCATGGCTCGCACTATGTTATCTGACTCAGGTTTACCTGAAACTCTGTGGGGTGAAGCCATAATGTGCAGCAACCATGTTTTGAACAATGTAGTTAACACAACAACTGGAGAATTACCATTCACTCGTTGGCATGGTAGAAAACCAAATTTAAGTTACCTACACACATTTGGAGTTCCAGCATGGGTGCATATTCCCTCACAAGTAAGACTGAAAGGGCAACATAGAGCTAAGAATTTATTTTTTGTAGGTTACTAGGCCAACCATAGGTCATTTAGATTTTGGGATCAAGGCACAGCTCATGTTTATAGTAGTGCTAGTGCAAAATTTCTTGAGCACGTTGGGTGGGATAAACTGGAACAGGAATCCAGCAATGATATTATTATTGACACCCAAATAAAAGATAAAATCAGTAAACCACGAATAGCCATTCAAGAGGAAGCACAGGAGGAAATAGTAGAACATGCACAGGAGGAAGTAGAAGAACAGGAGCAGGTGGAACAGAAGAGTCCACCAGTAAGCCCTGTATTACCAAGATGTTCAACCCGAGTAACACGACCACCTGATAGATATCAGGCTAGTGTTGTATGTCAAGTGAATACAGTTCCAAGTAACTACAGTGAACTAAAACTGTATCCTGCTAAGGATCAGGCTGCTTGGCAGGTCGCAATGGATAAGGAACTGGAACCATTAAAAAAGTTGGGGGTATATGAAAATGTTAAGTTACCATCTGGTAAACATGCCATAGGATGTAAATGGATATATAAGCTAAAGACAGGTGTGGATGGGACTGTTACCCATAAAGCCAGGTTAGTAGCACAAGGGTTCAGTCAGATAGCAAACGACAACGATGAGGTATTTGCAGTCTGAAGGCTAGTCTGAAGGCTACTACATTAAGGGCAGCATTAGTGTGGGCAGCTAAGGAGAAAAACGTTATAAATCATTTGTATGTAGAGACTGCATATCTGCATGCACCGTTGCAACACACTATTTATTTAAAGAAACCTTTAGGTATTAAAAATGATAATACAACTGATTGCTGGAGATTGAAAAAGAGTATGGCTTGAAGCAATCAGGATATGAGCAGAACCAATGTATAGTTAAAGAATTAACTGAGGTTTTGTAGCTAGCATGGCTAATCCATGTTTGTTTAAAAAGGAAAATAATGGTGTAAGTTCATTGTTGCTATTGTTTACTGATGACATAGCATTAATCACCAAAACTGAACAAGAAGCTACTAAAATAATTTCACTGTTAGAGAAGAAATTTAAGATAAAACAGGAGAAATCAAACAATATCTTGGTTTAAAGATAGATAGAACTAGGGGAGGATACAAGATCTCACAGGCAGATAAAATTAACCAATTACTAAAAAGTTTTAAAATGGAACTTTGTAAACCGGCTAAAACACCGATGAGCCAGGAGTTTAGTCACAGTGATGTTCAAAGTCCTATTTTTGATAAGAACATTTGTCAGTCCTTGATTGGTAGTTTATCTTATCTCAGTAATTGGTCAAGGCCAGATATTGCATACAGTGTAAATCAATTAGCGAGATTTAACACTGAGCCAACTGAAAGGCACTGGCAAGCTGCTATACGTGTGTTAAGATATCTGAAACAAACAATGCATTATTCATTGTATTTGGAGCCTAAAGATGAACTGAGTTTAACTGCATATGCTCATGCAAGTTTTGCTACAGACACAAAAACACGAAAATCTACATCGGGTACTGTAGTATTATTGGGAA